AATGCAGATGAAAATTATAAAATGTCAGAGTATAGTTGGAACTTAGGAGTGAAGATTAACTTCATAGACTTCTTCCAGAGTAGAAGAGCATGTTCCATTATTAAATACAAATTCCCAGGCTGGAGAGGGAGCTCAGCTGTTAGCATTTGCATATCTTCCAGAGGACCCAGAGTCAATTCCCAGAAACCACAATGGGTGGCTCACAACTGTCTATAACTCCTGCTTCTGGGATGGGTGGGAGATCCAACACCTGTGGCTTTGGTGGGCACACACATACACATAAAATAAAAGGAAAATAAATAAAAGTGAAGCAATAGCAAATTGCACACTGTCCAGATGGCTTAGCAGATAAACGATCCCCGGAACTCACGTAAAGGTAGAAGGAGAGAACCGACGCCACACGGCTGTTCTGACCCCACATTTGTCCACCCATACTTGTTTCAAAAGCTTGCTCTAAGAATGGTGGCTCACAGCTGTGATTCCAGCACTGGGCAGGCTGAAGCAAGACGACACAACATGGACTGCACCGTGAGCTCCAGGTCAGACTGAGCTATCGAGTAAGACCCTGTTTAGTTTTGTTTTGTTTTTGTTTCTTAAACAAATACGCTAACTGCAGAATGGAGACAAATCATTCCAATCCTCTTTTAAGGACAATCAAAATATTTTCCCTTTGGTATAAAGCTTTCAGAGTATAACACAAGCCTGGTTGAGTTCATTTGGTATGCTGGAGGATGCAACCTATAATTTAGTCTGCCTTAGGATAGGGGAGTAAGGCTCAGCCATTCCCGTTATCAGCATCAGTATCATTAGCTAAGAGAAGATCCAGACCTGACAGGAAGCAGGTGGATAAGACATACCAGATGCTGGTGAATGGCTTGAGTCTCTGGAACGGGCCAGTTGGATACAGTTCCACTGTCTTTGCATGCAGGAAAAATCAACAGAAATCTAAACCAGTGTAGTGGCAACACAATCCATTTCCATGGTTCCACACATGCACTTATGGACTAAGCTAAACTACCTTTCCTTTGTCCAAAAAGCATTGTCCTGCTACTGGAGAAGACAGAGCAGAAAGGGTTCTGGCTATTGTACCAGGGAGGCTGGTTGGTCACTAGCTCGGCTTCATAAACCCTTTCTAAGGTTCACCCCTGGTGCATGGGTTTGGTTAAGGCAGGTGATTAGAAGTCTGGGAACCTGGAGGTGTCTAATTGTTGGCTACTTTAGAAACACTTCATTCTAGAAACAAGTACCGAGGCTCAGGATGTAGAGGGACAGGGATTGCTAGCTTGTTGACTCCCTGGCACTGCAAAACGAACAAACATCAGCCGTAAGTCTGTGTGGAAAGGGCCCAGTTTAAAAGGTCTGGGAAAAAGAGCAGCAGGCACCTTTATCCTGAATGTAAGTGGCCCGGGCTCAGGTTGCCATGTTTATTTTGGGGAATAATTTATGATCAGTCCCGAAAAAACATGATCTATTTGATGGCTTTTTAACCAATCATATGACTATCATCACAGGTAAATTTATCAGGACAAAGTAATACGTTAATCTGGAGTTGAGGAACTGGATCTAACACAGTAAAGAGTTCCAGAATATAGACTTAGTTCTACATCCTGCTCCTTGACCTTAGGCAAACTGTTTTGTACTCAGTTTCCTCAGTGACAAAATGGAGATGGTAAATGTGCCCGCCTATTGAGGCTGCTATGAGCATTCAGCAAAGCATATTGGCTGTGGAGAGGGTTCATTACAGCTCTGAGACACGCAGAAATCTGGTAGAAGGGCTGGTTGTTATTACGATTTCTCGGGAGATGGCAGTCAGTCAGAGAAACAAATGGGGGCTTTATTCCATAGAATAACAAGGTTCTGGGTGCCCACTCCGTATCATGCATTGGATTCAGAAGTGAGCAAGACAGAGCTGTGTTTTCAAAGAGTTCGGAATTTAGCAAAAGGGAAAGACTTATAAACACACACATTGTAATACATTGTAACACTAGAAATAACAGGTTCCAGGGATGCAAGGGAAAGGGGAGTGAGGTTCTCTACCAGAGAGAGACTTAGTCTCTAGGTAACCTCGGAGTTGGGCTTTGGAGGTGGATGGGGTAGAGATACTCAGGGCATTGGACCACTCTAAAAGCACAGACTCATAAAACAATGAATTTGGTTTTGCTAGGCTAAGGCAATAAAATGCATGGGTGGAGCTAAGTGGAGGGAGGGTGGGGATCTACCATTTATATCAATATTGTAGCATCAGCATGGGGTAAGCTAAAGGTAGGTCAAGAAGAGATAGCTGTGGCCAGATTACTACGAGCCTGGTATTCAGTTAATTCAGTTGTTTGAAGGCTTAGTGAAGGAAGTGGTGGTGGGACCGGAGAGGGAACAAAAGCAAACGGTAATTAGGAGGAAGGACTGCCCAGGCGTGGTGATGGAGTGGATGTGGGTGGGGAGGGAGGGGGGAGGGGTCTAAGTTCACGTCTAGGTTTACCAAGCTTAACACACAGGTAGGCTTATGGTTCCCCCGAGTGACTTTCTGGGCAGAGAAAGAAGCATGGGTTTAGGGGATACGGAAGTTAGGTTGCACGTGGGACATGTTAGGTTTGCAATGCCCATAAGATCCACCCAGGGAGACGGAGGCAGTCATCACACTCCAACAGAAAATGAAATGAGTTGGCAGGGTTTATTCAGAGCACAAGGTTGGCATAGAACCCGTAGCCCCGGGGTTAAGTTTCACATGAGCTTGTTATGTGCCAGGCTCTGCTTTATACTGTACAGGTTCAGTTCTGGGCCAGGGACCCTTCTTGCTCTGCTAAGAGGTATGCCTTTAGCGACTGGGACTTGATAGACACAGAATCATTATCTTGTCAAATGGTCACCTCATTTGGTTCTCACAACACAACAATCCAATGAAACTGGTATTTGTCTCTTCATTTCACAGGTGTGGAATATGATCCAGGAAATAGGTCATTGGCCAAGGGCTCACCACTGGTATGTAGCAGATTTGAGATTTGAATATACACTTTGTGACTCTAAAAGCCCAGATTGCTTAACCACATTACCAGATCATTAGAATCCGACTCTAGTTATATGATCTACTCCTCTGAGCCTGTGTTTTACGACCATTAGGGGTGGGATTGGCTGGAGAGATGTCACAGCAAGTAAAGTGTTTGCTGCCAAGCCTGGCAACCTGAGTTCAATCCCAAGGACCCACACAAAGGAAAGAAGGAATGAGCTCTGCAAACTGTCCTCTGATCTTCACATACACACAAGACACATAAATGAACGTACTCTGGGAGATGAGACAGGGAGACCTCTATATTTTCCAGTTATTTACTTGTGTATGCCTCTGTACACTGTATCATGGTGGTATGGAGGTCTGGGGGCAACTTTTGGGAGTCAGTTCTCTCCTTCCATAGCTACAAGCCATCAGGTTTGCCCTGCAAGAGCTTTACCAGCTGAGCTATCCTGCTGGCCCCTTACACCAATTTTGCTCGTTTATGTTTTGTTTTTTGGTTGTTTTTTTTTTTTTTTTTTGAGAAAGGGTCTCATTGTTTAGTCTGGGCTGGCCTGGGCCAGACTGGCCTTGAACTCATGGAGATCTGATGGCTTCTGCCTCTTGAGTGCTGAGATTAAAGGAATGTGCCACGATGCCTAGTCACCCCACAACACACACACAAGCAGGCAAACAAAAATCCCACCAAAAAACAGAAACAAAAACACCAAAGACATATTTAAAATGAAGTAGCTGGTATGGTGTCCTCACCTGTAACTCCCAAATTGGGAAGTGGACATAGGAGGTTTACCTCTGAAATATAGCTCAAGGCTATCAATGGATGCATACCACTTTTGAGACCAGCATGAATAACATGAATTTTTTTTCTGAAAACAGAGCAGGTAAACACAAACTGATATAACACAGTGACCGTGAAGACAAACCTGAGTTACTTCAGTAGCTCTGTTACTGTGTATGAGCACCTGGTTTTTTTTTTATTTTGCTTTTTTCCTTTTTTTAATTTTTATTTTTTCAAGACTAAGCTTCTCTGTGTACCAGCTCTGGCTGTCCTGGAACTCACTATGTAGACCAGGCTGGTCTCCAACTCACAGAGATCCACCTGCCTCTACTTCCCAGAATTTAAGGTGTGTGTTTGGTGTGTGTTTACCAGTCACTGTAAATCAGCACACATAATAATGCAATATTGTATCATGCTATTGGCAAATGTGCATCGTAGTGAGCACTTTATTATTTTTATATGATGTTATCTTCTTAGTGTGTTCTTTAAAATGGAAGATTTCTTTAAAATCTTTTGCTTTGAAACTAAAGGACAATCTGGAAAACATGACACTGGCTGTATGTTGTGTTGGTGGCACAATTCAGCTTCTCTCCTGTTTCTGAGGGACAGGCAGCCAGCTCACCTGGGCTCACAGTGCTCTAAACGGCTTTTTTTCTTCTTTTTAAAAGGAGGCGAGACTGGAGAGATGGCTCAGTGGGTGAACACTGCTCTTGCAGAGGACCTGAGTCTTAGCACACACATCCATCTGTACACACGTGCGCAGACCCATAAATAAAAATAATAAAGGTGCATTTTTTATTAAAAATCGTCTCAGGGCTGGGGGTGTGCTTTGGTTGCTAGAGTGCTTGCCTAGAGTGAAAGAAGCGCTGGGTTCGAGCCCCAGAACTGTATGAACAGGGTGCCCGTGGCTCATACCTGTTTTCTCACCTTTTGGGAAGTGGAGGGAAAGGATCAGAAGTTCAAGGTCACTTCTCAGCTACACAATGAAGTCCAGATCAATATGGGATACGTGAGACTACGTCATAAATACCCTCTGTGGGAGGTCTTGATATTAAGCTTACTTTACACATAATGACAGTCTAGGGCGCAGAAAGAGTGTGGCCTGCACTTCATCCTCCTGGAGTGGTAGCGCTGGAATCCTGAATGTCCCCAACGCCTGCGCGCTCAGCTGCTAGTAAGGAAGACCCAGTCTACAACAACCTTGTAGGCTGATGAAACGCTCGGTAGGGGTGGGAGGGCTCCTCTCTGCGGGCTTCCCAGGCACCTCCCGGGGCTCTGGGCGTCCCTACACCCCCCTCTCGGCACCCTCTCGGCGCTCGCATCCCGCTCTGCCAAGGCCAAGGTGTCTCCTAGCCCTTCCCAGTTTCCGGTCCTTCGCTCCATCCAGGTCAGCTCGCTCCGGCTGGCAGCGCCAGGAGCCCGCCAGTCCTCTATTTACTGTTTGGTTTCCACGGTGACACGTAGGCGCCGTCAGCGCCTCCCGTCAGCGGCTCCCACCCGGCGCCGTGACGTCTGCCCGCCGTTTCCGCTCGGCCCATATTTGGAAAGGCGCAGCGGGCGGGGAAGGGCTGGGAGCCGGACTCCCGCGGCGCCCCGCCTCCTGCCCGGCTCCGCCCCCGCGCGGGCCTGCGGTGCCCTGGGCCGTGCTCCCCTCCTCCTACCGGGACCCAGCGGAGGCGGGCGGGGGCTCGGGTCGCCCGCATCCCTGGGGCTCTGCTAGTGGAGGCTGCAGTCAAAGCGTAGGGCCTGGCTCATCTGTTTCGGGTGGGTGATTGGGGATCACGATTTTCCCTGTCTGTGCCCGGAAATCCTGGAAGCAGTCAATGGCAGTCGTGGTCTAACGCTCGCTCTCTTTGGTACACTTGAATTTCAGATTCTCGTCCGTGGTGCAGTGCAGAGCTTTGCGGACACGTTCTGGGGTCGGTGTTTTCCCTTGGGACATAAGTGACCTTGGGAAGGCCGATTTCTCCTGGCTGGGGGCGGGGCCGTTCATTTTGCAGCCCCTTCCGTCATCGAGCTGGCGAGGTCTTCCGTCACCCTCTAACTGAGCCCCTCCTGGTGACATAATTGCAAAGGGGGCGAAGTTCTTGAAGACCCCTGCAGTTCTTAGGATGCCTGCACTAGTTGTATCTGTGCGCCTCCTGGGACTTGCTCATCTTAGACGCTTAATCAGCTTCAGTTACTGACGACTGAATGGATCCGAGGCGGGTTTCACCTTCATAAGTCCGGACCCCGCAATTCCTTTTGCAGGCGGAGGGAATATTGGGATGATTAATAGTCGCGCGGCAGGGTTGCTGATGTAAAGAGATTTGCGGATGTAAAGGGCAATAAACATGCGGATGTGAAGGGATCCATAGAGATTCCAGAAGTCTCTGAAGAGCCGTGGGTGTGTGCGGCAGGGCCGTGGAGGCGGGGGTGGGGCGGGCCGTGCCGCAGTGGCTGTGACTGGGTACTCCGAGGCAATTAACAAGATGCGTAGGGCTAATTCTTCATGAGGCCTATCTGCCCCCAACGCCGACACCCCCACCTGCCCTGCCCTGCCCTGCCCTGCTATGGTCGCCCACGCCTCCCAGACCTTTTGGCCATAGCTGTGGGTGTTTTCCAGAATTTGAAAGTCGGAAGGGACTCCAGGGATTAAACTTATTTCACAGACAAGGACACTAAAACTCATCGAAGTTGGTTCATCTAATCAAATTTGAACAGATAGCTAGGAACAGGTAGAAGTCGGATCTCTGGTTTTAAAATGTGTTCTTCCCTCTCGTTAGTGGGTATCAAGGTGTGTCTCAACCTGAGCTCGGGTGACTGTAGGACCCTGTTACTTAGCTGATATACAGTCAGTCCAAACAGTACATTTAGGTTACTTAAGGATGCCCCCTTTCACAATGGGACGATTGTCAAGAGGTGTTTGCTCCTAAAGCCACTGGCATTCCTCTTTGCCGTGGCGGGATCTTTGTCTAGAGAAGGCTCGCTGTGCCGACACCCGTCTTTGGCTCGCTTGCATTTCCTATTCGTACCCCCAAGCCGTAGGCAGAGCGCTCAGGCTGCGGCTGGTGAGTACGCTGCAGGACCAAGCCCGGCCTGCTGCTCGGAAGGTCTCTCGGTTCCTAGGGTCTGGCTGCAGGGAGGTGTCTCTCAAAACCGTTTCCCAGCTTCACCCGGATTCTCCTCACAGGCACTTTTCGAACCTCCGGGTTGACTCTGAAGACAGCTCACGCTGAGAAGACTCCTCGTTGACTGGGGTCTCCTCACCACCCTCTCACCGGCTGGTTTGGGGAGTGGTCTGGGAACCGTCCTCTCCTCACTGACTGTACCTGGCACTGGAGCTTCAGAACAGCGGCTCTGCCCCCTGGTGGTTGTGGGGGCCAAGTGTGCCCCCCTCCGGGCCCCTGGGCATCCTGGCAGACAGTAGGTTGTTGTTGTAAAGGAGGCAGGCCAGGGGGCAGAGTGTGAAAGTTGTTTCTCTGGTTCTGCCCCAAGTGTCCTGGGGGGGGGGGGGTTCAAACTCAGGCTGTCACGCTTGGCAGCAAGCACCTTTACGTGCTGAGCCATATCGTGGGCCCACTCTGATGGGAAGAGCCTACCTGGCAGATGAAACCACAACCAACAATAAAATACCGGACCAGCCTAGCTGTTTTCTCTCTCTGGATTATTTCTGAAGACTTGTTCCACGTGGATGTGGGAAAACCGCTTTGTAATTTCTCTTGCCAGGGCTGCTTTTCCAAACCCGCCCTGCTTCTCTTTCCAACTTTATTTATTTCAAGTCCCATCTTTGAAATAAATTTCTGGACTTTTCTCACTCATAAGCCTTTTGTGACTTAGCTGCACTCAGAGGGACACAGTGACTTAATTTGTTGTTATTGTTATGGTGTGCACATGTGCATGAGTGTGTGTGTGTGTGTGTCTATGTGCTATGGTGTATTGTGGAGGTCAAAGGGCAACTTTGTGGAGTTGGTTCTCTCCTTCCATCTTTATGAAGGTTCTGGGGATGGAATTCAGGACATCAGGCTGTGCAGGTGAGACTGAGTCTGGCTATGTAGTCCGCACTGGTTTTAAACGCCTGATCCTCCTGTGTCCGTTTCCTGAAGGCTGGGAGTAGGGATATATACCCCCACGTGGAGCCTGTATGCTGGCTTCTTCACTGTTTCCTTAAAAGTGGGGGTCACATGTTGTCTTTGGTGTTTATAGACACCCCCGCAGAGGGCCCTCCATTGGACTGGGGACGAAAATGGATTTCAGTAAGTCACTGCCTACTAACTGATCATCTACAGACACACTCTGGACCTTTGCATAGATAAGCCTTCTAGAACTCTCAGTTCTTGGTGGGGGGGTGGTATAGGGGTGATCTAATCAAAGGGAGCCTTGCACAATACACAGTTTCACAAGAGAAGCACCACCCGGAGTGAGAAGAGGAAGTTGGAAGTTCACAGTAGACTCAGGAAAGCCAGGAGGAGGAGGAGGGTGCTAACCAGGAAAGGAGGAAGGGGTCCTAGAGAGACAGCGCAGGCTCTAGAGCATGGGAACTGAATTGCCGTTTATAAATGCTCCAGGCAAGTACAGAGTTCTAGGTGGCTATGAGAGAGGTTTCCATGCTTTGGGGTCCCTCAGGTCTAGGTTGACTCCTGTCTGTCCGTAGTTATTGACCTTGAGTAGATCTCTCCATGTCCTGGACGTTTAGATTTCTCCGGTATGAGGTAGCCATAATTATGTCAGCCTCCAAAGACTGCTCTCATAGGTTTACAAACTGCCTGGTGTATTTCAAGCTTAAAGTTAGGAGTTACCATTATTAGCAATACAGGGGGCACAGTGAAGTAGAACGGGCTTCCAAAAACCCTCGAAGTTCTAAGAAAGACGGATTTCATGGACTCAGAACGAGACAGCTTGCAGGGGAGAGGCTGGGGCTGGGCCACGAACATCCATCACTTCTGAGGCAACCAGGAATGATCCGGCCTCATGAGATGTGAGGTGCTCATCCCTTCATTCTAGGAACGGTTTCGCCCCGTGGCTATGCTGAGGGTGTGGACCCAGTGCGGCTGGATGCCAGGCCCTGTAGGTTCTCTCTCTTGTCCTCCTTCCAGGGAGGGGGCTCCAGCATCTGAGGGCGTGTGCTGGGTGGGCCTTGGCAGCCTATTGTTGTTGCATGTGTGTGGGAATGGCCCAGGGGCATCTTGGCCCAGGATGTGGACTCTTGGCCTAGTAAGCAAAGAACCTGCCTGCACAGCTCCTGGGAGCTGCAGTTCCAAGCCTTAGCTGAGGCCACCCCGGGACTGATTGCCAGAGATTAGTGGCAAAGTGAGGGAAGGAGGGATGTGGGAGCAGTTTTCATCCCAAGTCCCTTCAACCACACTCGTGGAAAAGTACTAACCGGGATATGCAAATCGTTGGATCTTTCTTTCAGTTCTTTTTGAAGAAGGAAGCGGGTTGCAAAACCATACAGTGTTAGAGAGTTGCGATACCAGTGTGCTGGGAATCGTAATGCGGACCTGCACTAGACAGAGGACAACAGCCAGGGGTCTCCCATCCTATTCTTCAGGGACCCCGAACACAGTTTGAAGCTAAGCAAGCTCATCTTTGGAGCTGCTGTTTGGGGAGCACAAAGGAAATTGGGACCCTCCTCCCAGTTTCTAGTGACAGCTACAGGGTGAGCCCTGGCGAGCAGGCCCCACAGTAGCTCTGTGAGAACCAGCTCAGAAGAAAACAAGCAAGCAAACAAACAGATAAACCCACAAAACAAAACAAATCAAAAGCAAAAGCCCAGCTTGCAAAGCCACAAGGGTGCAGACAGACAGGTTGTGCCTGGGGAGGCAGGACTCGGGTTGTCTCTGCACGTCTATACTTCGTGACTATTTTCTCTTTGTTTGTGGTGAGCACGGACTACTTTTGTAAAAAGGAGATGTTTTAAAATGTTCCCAGCAGAGTGGTATTTTTAGTAGGTGACAGCATAATTTGCTTTGCTCTTTCTTTCCAGAAGAAATAGATATTCCTGTTTTAAAAAAAACTTTGAAAATTCAGATAGTGAATATATAGAGAAAATTAAAAATGTAGTCCTTTCACAAGGACAACCACTGCCAACAGTTTTCACTATACCTTTCCAATGCACACTTGAAGGCTTTGGGGTTTTTTTCCTCCATTCCCTCCCTCCCTCCCTCCCTCCCTCCCTCCCTCCCTCCCTCCCTCCTTCCTTTCTTTTCTAGTTCTGGGCTTGAACCCAACTCTGCATTAAACCAGGTGTGATGGCACAGGCAGTGCCTGAAATCTCAGAATTGGGGAGGTGGAGACAGGAAGAGGACCACAGTAAGTCTGAAGTCAGCCCAAGTTTCATAAGAAAAAGAAAAAAGAAAAAAGAAAAAAAGGAAACACCTAGGCCATCAACAGAAAATTCTACATCTGACCCCAAGACAGTCAAAGCGCAGGTGCAGAAAAATGTTGTTTTAAATCACATTCAGGGGGCTGGAGAGATGTCTCAGCAGTTAAGAGCACTGACTGTTCTTCCAAAGGTCCTGAGTTCAATTCCCAGCAACCACATGGTGGCTTATACCCATCTTGGATGAGCTCTGATGCCCTCTGCTGGCATGCAGGCAGAAGATTATATACATAATAAATGAATTTAAAAAATCACATTCAGAGCCAGGCGTTGGTGGTGCATGCCTTTAATCCCAGCCCTCGGGAGGCAGAGGCAGGTGGATCCCTGTGAGTTCGAGACCAGCCTGGTCTACAAGAGCGAGTTCCAGGACAGCCTCCAAAGCCACAGGGAAACCCTATCTCAAAAAAAAAAATCAATCAAACAAACAAAAAATCACATTCAGGGACTAAGCATGCAGTCCTCAGTGAATTTGAGGCTAGCCTGAGTTCCATAGCAAGATCTCAACAAAAATGATGTCAAAGTTTTCAATATATCCTGGTGTTAGCCTGAGTTCACCTCAAGGAGGGAGGCTCTATCCAGACTCTCTGCTTCAGCCTCTTGGGTGCTAAGATTATAGGTGCCCGCCGCCATGCCCCCATTTGAGGTATACAACATGCAGTTAAGTTTTGCCAGTAGGGAGGTTTACTTATTCACAGTTTTGCTCTTGAAGAGACACCCCCTGCCACTGCCTGGCCATGTTACTCTTAAAAACAAAAACAAAACAAAAAAAAGCATTGGAAATATAGTTCAAGCCTTGACATAGTGGCGCACGCCTTTAATCCCAGCGCTTGGGAGGCAGAGGCAGGTGGATCTCTGTGAGTTCCAGGCCAGCCTGGTCTACAGAGTGAGTTCCAGGACAGGCTGGTTTTAAACTTGGGGTGATCCTCCTGCCTCTGGCATGCTGGAAATACAGATCTGTGCTATCATTCTTGGCTCTAAAACAGTTGTTTTGAGGATTTGCTGAAAAAATTTTATAATGTAGATACTTGGCACGGTGTGTACTTGGAAAAGGTTCCCAATTTCTAGCTTGTTTGTTCTTTTTCAGGGTGAGAAGCTGCCTGGACATACAAGTCCACACACATAATTCAAGACAAATCTTTAACAAATATGGAACACTTCATAAATGTGTGGGTCATGTTGCCACAGGGGCCAAGCTAACCTTCGCCTCCGTTTTAGAGTGTGTGAGGCTTCAGTGGGTGGGGTCGTTAGGAGGGTTCAGGGGTAGAAGGTAAGCTTGGAGGAGACAGAAGCTTGAGCAGACGACAGGGCAGGTGCCAGAGAGATGGAAACTTAACAGACCGGGAAAATGTGTCCACAGAGTGACACAGTGACCTGGGACCCTGAGAGGCCACCTCCATAGGTCGGGGCGGGCCAGCATGTCAGACCCTTGGCTCTGGAGCCTGGTGGGTTCTGTTTCCTCTTGGCCTCCTCCTGTCTCACGCTGGACCTATCTTTCAGTTCCTTGAGTGCACCCTGCTCCTCCCTGCTGTGTGAACTTTGCACATTCTGTTTCCCTGCCCGGAACTCCTACTGTTCTCCCAGCCAACTCCTAGTAGACATCCCTCAGTTTAAAGTTCACTGCCTTAGCCTGGTCTTCCAGACTATTCCCTATAAACCAGCCGCCCAGGGCTCTGCTCCCTCTCGGATAGCCTCAGGATCCTCCCGCAGTATGGTGCTAACCTGGAAACTCCCTGTGGGCAGGAAAAAAAATCTGTTCTAGTTCCCTATTGTATCACAGAAAGCCAGGGTGCTGTAGGTATCCAACGGGCGTTTACCGAAAGAGAACAAGCCGGTTCACTTGTAACCCATAAAATGTAACATAAAATGCCCCCCTCCCTCAGAAGAGCTTTAATTCTATTTTGATGGATACCAGCTGACTAAGAAACTGATTGCAGCGGGGACCTGTGGGAGAATCTTAGCCAGCTCCAGCATCATTTGCTCCAGCGGCTTATGCCACCAGGCTGCGATTTCTACTTTACTATTGAGTCGCTGCGCCCTCTTGTGGTCACTCCTGGGTATGACAAAGACAACATTCTTGACGGAAAAAGCTCACCCTGTTAAAGACCTCTGCCATCCAGAGATGGAAGGAATTCCCAGAACCGAGGAGTTCTGGGGCTGGAAACTACTCTCAGCTACTGAGTCTTCTCTCTGGCTGCCCCTGCTGTTTTTCACTGCACGACCCCCCCTTTTTTTTTTTTTTTTTTTTTTTTTTTGGTTTTTCGAGACAGGGTTTCTCTGTGGCTTTGGAGGCTGTCCTGGAACTAGCTCTTGTAGACCAGGCTGGTCTTGAACTCACAGAGATCCGCCTGCCTCTGCCTCCCAAGTGCTGGGATTAAAGGCGTGCGCCACCAACGCCCGGCTTTCACGACCCCTTTTAAATGTTGTAAGTTTTTCTAGTTAGGA